GAAGAGGAGGAGGGGAGGGGGGGGGGGAGGAGGAGCGAGGGCGAAGGCGCTCGATGCGAAGTCGCTCGAAGAAATCGGTTTAGTCTTGTTGAGGGAGGTGGGGGGGCTTGGGGGAGTGAATAAGTACGCGCCAAATTAGTTGCATTTGTGCATGGCGCGTTGCACGTGGCGAAGATGATGCCACCGCCGTAGGCTCATTGACAGCCCCTCTCTGGAATGTTGCCGGCTTGAGTAATATGCTTGGATTGATGATGTTTCCACGCATGGTATTTATGTGTTATATGGTTCTGGTGTGTCGTTTATTGGTGTTATTTCGCCATATTCACCCGAGGTCAAATGTCGCGGACTTGTCGCAGAGGCATTGAGAAGTTCTGAGTTAGTTTAGCTTGGAGGGTTGTCCCCAAGCACTGTACTTCAACGCTTCAAAACCAACCAAAAGTGCCCCCAGCCCATCACAGCTATCATACGAAATAGCAATCTTCTTCCGGCACCCGGTGTACACACCATGAGTCATCTCAAACTTATCAGACACAAAAAACAGGTTTTTTGTGCCCGTTTGTTTTTTGTCTTCACTTCAATTTAGCGCTCAAAGCACTAGTGCTGTTTTACTCCAACCCGTGGTCACACAGGAGAGCCCCTCTCTACCCTCCCCTCCTGCGGTACTTTGCCTTTGATTTTTCATGCGAGAAGAGTTCAGCACTCTCTTCCCTCTGTGTGCACACGAACTAGCGCTATCCACTAGGCCATGAGCGGAAGCGAGAGAAAAACTCACTTTGCAAGAAAAGGGCGACCAGTGGATCGTATGCGCGCCGTTAACTCCAGCACACACAAGCACACGCAGCGGACAGGGAGAAAACCAACAAATCCTGTACAAAAAAGTACCAAGCGCAAAAAAAGTACTTTCTTCGTACCCCTCCTGTGTGTCGGGTAGATGTGCGCAAGAGCGGCAGTACTCATCTTGCGCCAATGAATGCTCGGTCTTTCTTTGTTTGGGAGTATCGCCAAACACCCAGGACGTGATCGGTCATGCATTTGGCTGCACTTCATGGATCTGGCACCCTCCCACTCGTTCATTTCTATTCTTCAGGAGCCCAAGAAGCCACGGTATGTATTTGCCACGAAACGCCGCCATCTTCATATCGGAGGCCTCTCTCATCAGTCGATTCGCCTACACCCATACACAAGCAAGTGTGGTTGTACAGCTACGCACGACAGCCTCTTGTCTCATCAAGCACCCTTCTGGGACACTCCACCGCTAACGAGGGAGACTATCAGTGCCGTAGTTGTACCACAATAGGATCTGCCCGCCTCGGGATTGTTGGCTTGGATCGTTGAGCTTCAATCAAGCTCAGGCCAATCAAGCTCAGACCCCCCACATTTTGCGCACCGTACAACAAGGAATCTGCTAGAATATTGTTGTCTCGTACGGGGTCTCAGGCGTCTCCGCCCTGCTTGCGTGAACAACCGCTCAATATTTTCACCCATCAGAATTTGAGGGGGGACGGGGATGAAGACGCCCAAGGTTCAGCATTTTGCTACGAACCTAAACCGTGGCGTTGGTGCAGAACCCCCTCAGCTCAGGTCGCACGAAACACATCGACGTGAGGTATCATTTCATCCGAGGATTGTTTAGGTCGGGGGATATTTCGGTCAAGTTTGTTCCGACAACGGAGCAACACGCGGACCTCCTTACCAAGGCCCTTAGCAGGGTCANCCCGGACGCCGGGTTTCCCCTCCATATGTTACCATGTTGGTATTTTCTGATGTATCCTGGGGCGTTCTTGCCCAATTGATGGTTAGTCACTTGCGTGATGGTCACAAGCAGGGGGGCTGATAAATATACTTGTAGCAATGCCAAGTGGTTCTAGGATTGTGTGGTACGTGGAATGTATTTCCAGGGTGTGCAAGGTACCCCTGTTGTATACTGCGTCGCCCCCTCATGGTGGTGCGTGCACGCGTGCTTTCAGTTCGTGTGAGTTCGTGTGAGTTCGTGTGAGTTCATGTGAGTTAATGTGAAGGAGAAGTTTATGCAACAAACCCTACACGTCTTTCCTCCTTGGCGCGAGTTCGCCGAGTTGCTGACACCCTATTCAACACACGTCTTGCGACAAGCTACCCCCAGTTCGGATCATCCTAACAC